GACTTGTTGTAATAATAACATGAAGAAGAACGATGTAATTACAATCAGTATTGTTGTAAGAATAACACGAAAAAAACGGTGTAATTAAAGTCATAGACTTGTTGTAACAATAACATGAAGAAGAACGATGTAATTACAATTAGTATTGTTGTAAGAATAGCATGAAGAAGTGACATGTAATTAATCATAGTATTGTTGTAACGATTGTAAATATGACGAAAAGCTATCTAAGTGAAGAAGTCAGAGTATTGTGTAAACAACAACATGAAAAAAGCCATATGATAAAAGAAAGCATAGTATTGTGTAAAAACAACATAAAAAAAGCCATGTGATTAAAGAAAGTATAGTATTGTTTAAACAACAACATGAAAAAAGTCATGTGATTAAAGAAGTCATTTGTATTGTTTAAACAACAACATGAAAAAAACAATACTATACTTTCTTTAATCAATGGGTTTAAACAACAACATGAAAAAAAGCCAGGTGATTAAAGAAAGTATAGTATTGTTTAAACAACAACATGAAAAAAAAGCCAGGTGATTAAAGAAAGTATAATATTGTTTAAACAACAACATGAAAAAAAGCCACGTGATTAAATAAGGTATAGTATTGTTTAAACAACTAACTATTTGTGCATGAAACTGCTTAAGGAACCACGACTTTATTGCCCAGTCTCTAATAGCTTGCGTCTCACGTAAAACTACCGTCAATATTGCACTTAATACCAGTCATTACTGTCGTGGTCCTGAGTATATTCGACACAGAAAATGAGTGATTGCATCTAATTTATTTCTCACTTCTTTACATCAAGTGTTGTGACATACACTATGTTGACCTATCCCGTTAGTAAATGGTTTAGAAACAAGTCTGTAATTTGAGGGTTAGAAGGTACGAGAGCGTGTATATTTATTTTAATTCCGGTTATAATTTTAGCACTCTCCTTAATTACACCACTTCTCTTTTTCAATTGTGACAATACTATGACTTTTCTTTATGCTGTTATAACAACAGTATAGTGGCTTTCCTTTAATCACATGGATTTTTTCATGTTGTTGTTTAAACAATACTATACTTTCTTTAATCATATGGCTTTTTTTCATGTTGTTGTTTAAACAATGCTATACTTTCTTTAATCACATGTTTTTTTTTTCATGCTGTTGTTTAAACATGGCTTTTTTTCATGTTGTTGTTTAAACAATACTATACTTTCCTTTAATCATATGGTTTTTTTTCATGCTGAAAAAACAAACAAACAAAAAAACGAGTGTGCGTGTCATCTAACAGTGCGCGTTGTTTCGTTTGTTGTTCACTTCGTGTTCTGTTCCAGTAGTTTTTTTTTTGATAACTTTAGTTCGATTTTATCACGTTCGGTTTATTTTTCTGTTTGTGTGACTATAATTCCGTTTTGATCACGCAGTCATCTGGGTTCACATTTTCCAGCTGTTTTAGTTCTTCTGTGGTGCTGAGATAAGACTTCCTAAATTGTGCTTTTAGACGATTGTGCATAACAGCGACTGGTGCAGCCGGCTTTCTCTTGCACATTCCGCACGTGTTGCATCTTGGATTTTGCTTGACACGGAGAACGCAAAGAAATAAAAAAGAAACAACCATAATATATTGGTTTGATAATGAGAAGCTACAGAAATACAACGCGGAATATAAACGATTTTATTAAAAACAGAAAAACCTTCAAACAGCAAAATTTATATTTGTTTGTCACTGGGAATATAAACTTAAAGTCCATTGAATATATTACACGTATGCTAAAAGGTAAAGAACGCAAATTTATTAAAAGGTTAAAGTTCAAGGTACTTGTGTAAATAACGTATTTAAAAAATACGTTTTATCAAAAAAAATAAAATAAAACTTGAGGTAAAAGGCAGTTCTAGAACGTCAATTTATCAAAAGGTTAAAGTTCAAGGCACTTGTGTAACTAAAGTATTTAAAAAAACATTTTATCAGAATATATATAAAATAAAACTTAAGGTAAACGGCAGTTACACAACGACAATTTATTTAAAAGATTTGGTTTGCATTTTGCGCAAAGCTACACCAGGGCTATCTGCGCTAGCCGTCCCTAATTTAGCAGTGAAAGACTAGAAGGAAGGCAGCTAGTCATCACCACCCACCGCCAACTCTTGAGCTGTTTTTTTTTACCAATGAATAGAGGGATTGACCGTGCACTATAACGCCCCCACGGCTAAATGGGCAAGCATGTTTGGTGGGACGGAGATTCGAACCCGCGACCATCAGATTGGGAGTCGAGCGCCCTAACCACTTGGCCATGCCGGGCCAAAACTTTATAGTTAGCGTTTGTTTGTTATAAAGCACAAAGCTACACAAAGGGCTATTTGAGCTCTGCCCACCACAGGTACTGAAACCCGGTTTTTAGCAGTATAAGTCCGCAGACATACCGCTGTGTCACTGGGAGGATATTAAAGGGTTAAAATTCAAGGTACCTGTGTATCTAAAGTATTAAAAAAAAATTCTGTCAGAATAACCTTCTGACCTTTGACTCACGACCTTCAAAAGTTAATAAGGTCTAAAACACTGTGTGTCGCATCCGTTGTATAAGTTTCGTCAAAATCCGTTCTTCCAATCTTGAAATATCCTGTCCACAAGATACGGATGAACAGGGGCAAACCAATATGTCATGCTCTGCTTTACGAAGCAGTGAGAGCATAAAAACCAGTACGGCTGTTTCCACAATGTGGAATGTATTTCCTTCTAATGATAATTTTCGTTTCTGTATGAGAAGTGCTTCTCCTGAGGAGTGAAGTCGTCTGGCGATTAGTAAGGAATTATATAGAAAGATGCACGTGCGAACAATAATTTTTACCTTTTTTCATCGGGAACTAAAAATCGTAGAACACCCATTATTTTTATTTAAAACTATTTTGTTTATTCCTTACTAGAAATGGCACGATCTAGTGACTAGCGTGCCGGACCGTGAAGGTGACGGTTCATCGTTCGCGTTCCGCAAAAACACCTTCCGCATTTAGAAGCCAGTAGTGCGTTATAATAGTACTGTCAATTTTCAATATACGATTAGAGTAGCCCAAGATTTGGCGGTAGTTGCTATTGACTACCTGCCTTCCCTCTAGTCTATCAATTTAATAATAGGGAAGGCTAGCGCAGAGAGTCTAG